CAACACCGACCAGGGCCATGGAAGTCATTCTCAGTCTCACCCCCTTGATATTTACATCAAGGAGGTTGCTCTGACGACAATGACATGCCTTCGCACGGTTGGAATAGAACCTGATGTAGGATCTGGTGAGGTGAGAGGTCGCTTTTAGCAGGAGGCGCAGGATACGCTCCCACTGCTTCAAGCTAACATGGACTCCATCTCACCGAGATATATCTTCCATAAGATATATAACGTTATAATAGAACAAATAGAAGAGCCGGAAGTGGCAGGTATGATTCATATCTACACCGACGGTTCTAAAACAAAACAAGGCTCAGGATGTGGAATATACTCCAGATTCTTAAACCTAAACATATAATGGGCTGTGAGCAATAGTGCCAGTGTAGTTCAAACAGAGCTAACGGGTATTCTCATAGCAGCAAAAGAAATAACCAGAAACAATATCACTGGAAGGAACATGCTCATCTATACAGATAGCAGACAAGCACTACTTACCCTAAACAGACCACGAATTTACTCAGGGTTAGTACTAGAATGTCAGGACGCTTTGGCCGAAGTATCCATCAACAATGTGGTCACCTTAAGATGGATCAATGGTCACGCCACATCGAAAGGTAACCGTCTTGCTGATTCACTAGCCAAGAAAGCAGCCAACCAAATACTTTTTGGACCTGGCCCTTCTATTGGCCTGACAAAATCGGTAGTGACAGACCTAATCAAAGAAGATTCCCTTGTGAAATTCAAGGAAAGATGGGATGAAACAAGAAACTGCAGAGTTGCCAGGGAGCTCTTAAGTTATCCTGACAACACTGCAGCAAACAAATACTTGACTATGACTAGACAGAATCTGCGCCTAGTCACAGGCATTCTGACTGGTCATTGCCAAGTACGAAAGCTTCTCCATATCATGGGGCTGTCAGAATCCGCACTCTGCAGAGGGTGTGAACAAGAAGATGAGACCATCGAGCATATACTTTATGATTGCCCAACGCTCTCATTTATTAGAAGAATTGTGTTCGGCCAGTATCGGCTAACACCGGCCGATATGAGAGCAGCACATCTTGGCGACGTTGTCAACTACATAAAATCTGTAGGCTGGCTCACGAGCTATGAGGTGCCTATCATCTCAGGAGGATGCACAATGAGCCTAATAAGGCCTAAGTGCCATGGAGGTAACCCACCCTCCACACTATTGGTTAATAATCGGAAATACAGAAAAACTAAACGGTTCACCAACTGTGTATCACTACTTCGGTGAAGAGCTACGGAGGAACTACAAGACACTAACTGCGGTGGTCAAGAAGTGAGAGCTAAAATTTTTGCTTCACTCTTACTTATGCCTTTTCAGCTGAAGCGATAAACGTCAACCAGTTCGGAGTCGGAGAAGCCATCACCAGTTTTCGGACTATTTACTACTAATAACAACAAAAAATTACCCTCGCACACCTTCGCAAATAATTTAGATAATTTTGCATGAAATTCGGTCTTTTAATACGAACATGATTTTACAGTACAAATGAGAATAGTTTAAACTACGGGGGGCTCGCTCAGCAACTGCGAGCCGACAATGACTAGGGAATCCAACACACAGGGGTCCTTTAAAGCGTACTTCCACGAAAATTCATTAAAATTTACATTTTTATAATTAATTTAAATTAAAATATAGTGACTTCGTCACAATACCTTCCTATAAAGAAACGGCATTAAAAATAATGTTTTTCATCATGAAATGTACCACCCCTAACATTTTTCCTATATTGCACAAGAAAACACCACCAACAAAAAAATTATATATTTGAAATATTAAAATAATAGGCCTTTTCATCATATGATGAGCGCAAGCGCAGCCGCCATGTTGAAATAGCGCCAACTCAAAAGTTTCGCCCTGTTTTGATTAACAATGGCTGGAGAATATTATCTCTACATACAAATCAATCATTAGAAAAAATCGTTGATGGTGATATACATTTTTATTACTCTGTGGAAGCACATAGTTTTGAGCAATTAAAAAGGTTCTTGAAGTGACGTGGACGTTCGGAATAAGGAAAAAAAGTGTAATTGAGAGGTTAGGTTTTAATATTAACTGTGTAAATAATTAATAAAAACAAATAATAATTATAACTCTATTCTAATTATTTATGCCAACCAACTATTAATAATTGCAAAAACACATTAACATGAAAGTTAATCACGAGTATAATTAATTAATAAGATAAAATATTTAAAATTTTAAGGATCAACATGACATTTTTGATAATATAACAGTGTATACCGAAGTAGTATTTAACATTAAAAAATATTGTGTAATACCAGACAAGGATTTTTTTCTGTTGAACCACTTTCTCCATGAAAATGTAGTGAACAAATATAAGTATCTTTATTTAGTACCTAACATCATCCATCAATCGATCGAAAACCTTTGTCACTTCGATCAAATTTTTTCACTCATGCTCATTTTGAACTTGTTTTAATATGTATTTTGCCTAATTTGATAGTTTTTTACGATATTGCAGGAAAGTCTTTTTATAAAATATTAATTTATACCGTGTGTCACTTTTACATACTCATAACAATACCTTTAGTTTTTTGTTTCCGTATTGATAACATAATTAATTGATTGCAAAAATTGATTTTTCAATTAAGACACTTATTACTTTACTTTTTTATCCCATTTTTTTAAACGAATATACTTAAAATTAATATTTATCGATTATAATTTTTTTCACGTGGACATTTTAACATGCTTGTTAACAAAAAACAGTACGAAAAAGATGGCTGATACTGACACATGCGCACAAAAAAAAAATTGTGATGAAAAGGCCTATTAAAAAATTACGTAACCGAACCAACATAAAAAATGAATTGAAAACATAATTTTTAAAAAATTCGCTTCCCGACCAACTGACACAGATCAAAGAATATACATTCTTGCTTCTCAGCTCAATATCACTACTTCTACCAAACAAACCTAAGTTGCCTAAGTATACCTATTAATTGTTGCAATAAACGCAACATAAAATTTAGGAATACCTATTTATTGATTTAAAACACATATTATTTTTCTGCAATATGCTCACAAATATTGGCAAACATATCTTTAGGAACTGCGCTATACTCGTATATTTCGTACCATATAAATAGTCTTTAATAAATAATCCATAAAATACTTAAAACCTATGTAAAACATAAAAACACAAATAAAATTGCGATAAATAAAATCAAATTCTTGACAAATACACAAAAGAGCAACCACGAATCGAAATTACTACGCTTCTATCAAGTAATTAGGCATTCCAAACTGAATGACTACCAGTGGGTTTTGACAGGTTATGATGTGGCAAAGTTATGGCAACTCTGTAGGCCTGGTGATTTGACAAGGTGAGTGAAATAGATAGTTACATAGATTGATCATCCCTATTTTTTAAAATAAACATAAGCTTATGCCTTGAAGTAAAAATATAAGCAATTATTATTTTTTAAATATCTAAAGTCTGAAAATTGGTTTTAAAACACATTTTGGCTAAACTGATTCAAATTAATAAATATTTGCCAGGCAATATGGCTGCTCGCAAACGACCAGCTTTGAGCAATGTATATAACACATATGTATCATTGACCCTGTTAATGACAACATGACAACAGGGTTGCCATATCTAAACTGTCAGTACCCACTGGTAGCCATTTGGACAGGGGCCCTATCCTCGGCTATCGTTTTCTAAAAAACGTATACGCTTTAGCAACATACGAGCTATTCGCTATTCTCGACATTCGTTTTAGAAGCGTGTACGTTTTTAAAACGGGTATTTTACAGCGAGCGGAATTTTTCACACGTTTTTGATAAAACGTGCATGTTTTCAAGGATTTGTCACAATGTCACTTATATGTCACTTTTAGGATGTCTAATAATATTGATTGATTTTAACAAATTCTAGGTAAACTACTTTTTATTAATACCTACAAAAGTATCTAATTTCTTATAAATATGGTTTTCAGTACTAAAAAGTCTAATAGCTAAGAATTTCTTTCAATTATTATTAATAATTGTACAATTAGAAAACTTGGAAGAAAATAATGTTCAAAGATTCAGACATGCAGAGGCAGAATCCATTTTTGAATTTAATGGATATTGAATAAATATTTTTTTATATCTTACCGTGTAAGAATTTAATTATTAATTCATGTAATTTTTATTTTTTTATTTACAGATATTAATTTGCTTGCGGTGTAAAATTGCCACAAAATATTAAAGAACTGAATAAGATAAGTAAAGTTATTATTTAAATTAATTTTGTATCATAAAAACTAGGTTTTTATGACGTACGAGTTTCCTAGAATTATAGGTTGCATTGACTGCACCCGTATAGCTATTTTTCTGCCAAAAATTAACGATTCAGTTTATCCTGAACATTGATATATTATGTGATTAGAAAAAATCATCATTCGATAAATTTACAATTGGTTTGTTGTAATTAAATTACATAATCCTTATTTTTTTATGGCCTGCACATTACTTGAATTCAGCGATATAGACAGTTTACAGTGATGCCAGACATATTATATGCTTGTTAAAAACGTACACGTTCTAAAAAACGAATGCTCATAGAAGTCAAGAATATAGATTTCAAAAACTAGTCGCTTTTCAACCATTCGCTTTCGAAAACGGTTCGTTTTTTTTAGCGAATGTCGAGGATAGCCGCCCAGGTCGTTGGAATGCCTAATAAGTAGTTTTCAACATCCGCAATAAAAAATAGTTCCAACTTGGAAAGGCCATATTTTTGAATTTTGACTATAATCCGCAATTTTTTTTTTTCCAAGAAATTTCTATCTGTAGTTTTATTTAATATATATGTCAAATCTATAATTTTGTGACATAAAGTGATATGTCACCAAAAATTGTTCCAACCTGTCCCACTCTATCCTATTATGATAACAGAAGTTCAAAAAAACCATTAATAAAACACTAACGTACTTTTAAACGATCTAAAATACTGCTCTTATCGAGCATACCTACAAAAAATATGCTTGGCAACATTGTTTTATATGAAATACAATATCAGAAGTTCAGAGATACGATACGAGATACGGAATACAGAATTAGTATACCTATTTAACATTTTGTTGAGCAGTAAATAGCGTGAATGTTGTGATTTATATTTTCATTTACGAACGAGACCCACAAAGGTGAGTATGATTACTACCATTATTATTTAATGCAGGGTCAATAGATGTTAACTACCTCTTAATAACATTTATTAACATCCACTTTATATTGGTTGTGATATCTACCGTAAATGTTTGGTTATGTAGGTACCTATTGTCTTACAATAATTCAGATTTTATTTTTGACCTTTGACATTAATTTACTTTATTATATCTGGGTAGCGATTATCAAAACATGGGACATTTTTTCTTTCGTTATCATTAATTGCGAAAATATACCTAATACCTATCGTAAATATGTAACTCTGCGATTGAATGTTTTCTCTGCGATGTTGCCACTTTAAAACTATATATCCGATATATTAAGACATAGTCAGAAAAAAGCATATTAATAATAATTATATCGAATGATATAATCTGAACTAATAAAATTAACTGGTGTGATCCTAGAGCCAATTTCTAGCAGCGAAAATTCCGAATATAACCGAACGATCAGTAGTATCTTTCAAATAGAGTCAATTAATTATTAGGTAAAAAATAGTACAAAAGCAATTTAAACTTTGACCGAAATTTTATAATACGATGTTTTTTCAAATATTACATCAATATTAATTAAAATTAAAAGGACAGTACCATACCTTAAAAAAATGTATTTTACAATATTTATTATGGTAGTATTAACTCAAAGGAAAAGTATGATAGATATAATAAAAAATTTCCCACAAGGGTACACTACCCTATAATAATAAAATAATTATTTTGACAGAGAAACAAATAAGTTATCACTTTAAACTGTGTTTTAAAATATTTTTATTGGTAAAAAAACGTAATAAAAATAAAAAATGAATTACTATCGCACCTCCTAACTGGGTAAAACGCCTTTAGGATAAAATCATTATTTTACTAAAGAAGCAAAAAGTTGTCACTTTAAAATGTAATTTAAAATTCTTTAATTAGTTTTTACTTTTTTACTAGCGCCCTTTCAAACAGGGTTAAAATGCCCTTAGGATAATAAAATAGTTAATCAGAGAAGAAAATAAATGATCACTTTAAAATGTATTTAAAAAAATTTCTTTTAGGTAGTGTTATGTACTTACAGTAAAAATATGAATTACTAGCGTCCCTCAAAACAAGGGTAAAATGCCTTTAGGATAATAACATAATTAGTTGACCTACGAAGAAAATAAATTATCACTTTACAATGTATTCTTAAGATCTTCTGTTAGTTTTATATACTAATAGTAAAAATATGAATTACTAGCGCCCATCCCAACAGGGGTAAAATGCCCTTAGGATAATAAAATAATTAGTTGATCAAAGAAGCAAAAAATATCACTTTAAAATGTATTCTTAAAAACGTATATTAGTGTTATGTACTTACAGTAAAAATATGAATTCCTAACGCCCCTCCCAACGGGGTAAAATGCTCTTAAGATAATAAAATAATCAGTTCACCAAAGAAGAAAATAAATTTATCACTTTAAAATGTATATTAAAAAACTCTATTAATGTTATGTACTTACAGCAAAAATATCAATTACTAGCGCCCCTCCCAACAGGGGTAAAATGCCCATAGGATAATAAAATAGTTTGTTGACCGACGAAGAAAATAAATTATCACTTTAAAATGTATTCTAACAAACTTCTATTACCTAGTGTTATGCACTTATTGCAAAAATATGAATTCCTGGCGCCCCTCCCAACAGGAGAATAAACAGATAGTAACAGTATTTTAAAACACAGTTTAAATTATTAACTTATTTGTTTCTCTAACAAATTAATTATTTTATTTTTATAGGCTGGTTTATTTTATCTATCTAATTTTTCCTTTGAGTTATTACTACCATTATAAATATTTAAAAATACATTTTGATATCACTTATTACCTTCTCAGGTAAAAAAGTTTTCTATTTTTAAAGTACGGTAAAGGAGAGGGTGGATGATTCGGCCAGTTTGTAGAAATGAACTCATAAAACCCATATTTCTTGTTAAATATTGAGAGTTTGTTTTGCTACCTAGTCTTTAGACATTTCTAAGACTATTAAAACCCAAATTAGTGACATAAACTTATTCCAGGATTTTGCGCAATAAATATAAAAATTCCTCTGCTCCCCACCACGCATTCTTGAAGTCCATACACATGCGTGTCAGGATTGACGAGCGGAAGAAGGCAGACCAGCGCAGTGGACAGCTTTGCCAGAGCTGGTACAATTGTACAGATCTGGTACATTTTGAGACCGTTTGTACAAAAGTACATTTATAATATTTCTGGTACATTTTGTACAATTTTAAACATATATCTGACAGCACGAATTTTTTAAAATAAAAATCGATGCATACCATAAATATCGATAAATTTCAAAATGTTTTTAAATCAGTAGCAGAAGAAAAATAAGTATTTTAGTGTAAAAAATGGATAGGTTCGTATTATTATTTGTTGGGTTTGTTAGGTCTAGAGTAAATTTTACATCTTATAAGTGTTGTATTAATAAATAATTAAAACTATTGTAATTAACAGGTTTGTAATAAGAAAAGCCAAAGAGGCAGATCCGAGGCTTAGTATTTCTTAGCCTTCTATTTCATCAGGTTTATTTAGACTAGACCATCTAATAAAATAATAAATTCCGACACAATTACTATAGAACAAAATAGTGATTTATCAGAATCTGAATTTGCGACAACCTCATCCAGTCGGGAATGTAGGGATAGCTCTCCTCCACAGCAAGTAATTTTTTTTACTGTAAAATATTGTTATTCTACTAATAAATCCTGGTTTTCCAATCGTAGCATGACGGATATAAATGCCATAATTTATTTTAAATAATAATAAGACCAACGCTTCCTCTAGTCTTTTAATTTCTTTGTAAAGAAAAAAAAAATATGATCATAAATTTAGACAGTTTCCATAGGTAAAACTACTTTGTAATGGAGAGAAAATTTGCTCTTTATGTAATCACACAGTTGATGGTGGGGCAGCTCATTTAACAAGGCATGAAAAGAATCAGTTTCACAAAAAAATGCCAAAAAGGTTACAAATACAGGAAACATTGAAAAATTGCTTCAAGAATCTTCAGAAGAAAAAAGATTGACGGTTGTAGCTAAAGAAACCGAGTACAAATTAAGTATGAGCCTCATCGCAGAACATAATTGCTCAATGTTGCTAATGGATCATGTTCCTAAACTTCTAGTATCTAGTATTCCAGATTCTCAAGTGGTGAAAAATATAAATTGTGGGAGAACAAAGACTACCCAAATAATTAAAATGTTGAAGATTGAGGCTGAAAATGAACTTGTGCAACAACTAACTAAATAGTAGATGAAACAACAGACATCTCTTCAAAAAAATGTTTAACAATTTTGTGCCGTTTTGTAGATATAAACCAAAATTACATTAAAGACCAGTTATTGTCACTGGTAGAGGTAGAGAATTGTTCTGCGGATAGTCTCATTAAAGCCATTTTGGATTTGCTGGAGAAATCTGAAATTAATTACCATAATGTTATTGGTTTCGGTGCAGATAACGTTTCTGTTATGATGGGGCAGATAGGAGAGCAAAACTTAAAGAAAAAGTTAATTCAAATATTTTTGTTCTTGGTTGTATATGTCACTCCTTACATCGATGTGCATCAGAAGCGACAAAAAAATACCTTCTACGGTAGAGGAGTTTGTCTAAAGGTGGGTCCACATTGCTCGCGAACAGTGCGAACGAACACAACAAGCGCAACAAACGGAGCAAACAGCACGAATGAAACAAAAATCATATTTGTCGTGTTTGAGCTGTTTGCAGTGTTCCTCGTGCTTGCAATCACCCAAAACACCTGTTTTGACTGTTCGGTCGGGTAGCGGTACATCAAAGGCATAGTGTGAGCGCGAGCACAGTTGACGGCGGTTTGGTGATTTTTTTTGTTTTTACTGTTCGCTTTCAAGTGCATTCAAGTACGAGTGTACGAGCTAGGCGCAGTGCAATAGAGAGTGGACTGAAGAAAAAATGTTGAAGCTAATTGGGCTTTACGAAACTAAATATTAAAAAAAAAATTCTTTCTTTGGATATGTGAGCCAACTAAATTAATTAGTGTTTCAAAATCGGTAATACTAATGCGACAAAAATTATTGAAAAACATCCCATATGTTTGTAAATAAATCATGGAGAAGATTACTTCCACTGTATTTGGAACTACTTTTAAAAATATTTGACATCCAACACCGTCTTTTTGTCACTTTTTTTCCTGTTCTCTCCGTTTTATAAATAATAATTAACGCACTGGCAGCCGTCGTTAGTAATAATTGATCATCCATGTCGAAACCGCAAGAGCGCAAACACAGAACTACAATGTGGACACTTTTGCTCGCGGATAATACGATCTTGACAAACAGAAGAAACACAAAAGGCAACGTTCCGGAAACAGCATAAGCGCGATCACAAGCACGCGTGTAAGCACGAACAGGAGCAATGTGGACCCACCTTAAGACATATACAACTATATATCGAAAAGTCCAAAAAGGCTTACCGTTTGTAAAGAATTTTAAGAATTTATTGACACGAAACCTCACAAATTGTTAAGATTAGGTCAAACAAGATGGCCTTCATTGGAGATAATGTACAAGTGCGTATACAGGGTGTTTCAGATTTAAAGGGACATAGCTTAATGGGAGGTAGAGTACACTTAGCTCAGTTCAAAACACTCCCATGCGTAGCCTTTAATCTTACTCATTTCAGAGATATAGAGAGTTTTATAGGAAAATAATATTAGAACTAAGAAGTAACTTTTATTTAAAGCATTTTCTTCTCTAAATGTAAATAACAGATATATTCTATAAAACATAAACATGACCCCCAATAAAGTACTCCCTCAGATGTTCCTCCGCAGGCCGAAATAAAGCTTAAATTTAAAATTTGGTGTTTTTCTTTGTATCCGTTCATGAGTTATCGTGGATAAAATAGATATCCTTTATGAGGAAGTAAAAAAAGTACTTCTATAGTAAAGTCCACATGAACGAGAATTTGTGGGAAAAAATTGTCT